AGTCCCTTCCCCTCATCTTACAGCAGCATCCTCATCTTAACGCCCCGACCTTGGTTCTCCATAGTGTTTCAGCATGCACGCTCACAAAGAGGAGGCTGGTTATTTTCAGAAGTGGTAGCTGGATTCTTGGGGCGAGCGATGAGCGTCGCCCGGCAGCAGGATGCAGGAATATAGTGTAGAATATGCACACCAGTACATGTAGCACTCCGCCCTCATCTCATGGCACTAGAGAGACGAACGACCTCCGAGGTGGCGCTAGACGTTGGATCCAGGTGGGGCTCGTTTAGGCGTTCTTTTCGTAACAGATGTTGAATGTACGCTTGGCCTCCGGTGAGAGGAGGGTTCGTAACTCAGTGACCACTCCGTGGAGCTCCTGACAGCACTCGTGTTTCACGTTGGTGCCACTTTGGATCATGCAGCTGTGTTTTGTTAACTCTGTCTAGCTTATTTGATGTGTGTATATTGTGCTGTTTATAGTGTTTGTGCGTGTATTCTAGCACAGGGGTGTCAAACTCATTTTAGATTCTGGGTCCAGTTTTTCTTGATGCTGTTCCTTACAAACGTGTAAAGAAAGCAGATTTTTGCCTTTTTATTTGGTATGAAGAAGTTTAAACTCTTAAAGAAATCAGTCTGTAAAATAAGAAAGTACCAGCTGATCATTGCCTGGACTTTGATCTGTAATGAAAACAGAAACTTTTAGTTAATTCCCAGAATTTTACTTTTTCTTCTTTTTGCACAGTGGAAAAAATGCACATTTTCCCAGGATTCCTCCTGGATCAGAATGGGATTTTTAGGTGGTGACGATGCATGTAAGCACAATTACTCCACATACACTAAAGGCAATAAGAAGTCTATGCTATCTTACTTAACAAATCTCTCTTTCCTTGTTATTTCAGTCATTTCATGAAAAGAGGGGAGGGATTTAAAATATGTTCTTTTTTTTTTAGGGAAAGTGGTGCCAAATTGTTTTATATTTAGGAAAAACCCTCCTTACTTTATAGGCACAGTTTAGTTTGGAGGGGCAGAACTAGCTTTAGGAAGAAGGCGGTAAAGTGACCTCTGGCTCAGAGGAACTGGACGAGTCAGACTCTACTTTCTTAAGCAAAAAACGCAGTCCAAGCTGTAAAGCTTCTTTTAATCTTCACATTATGTTTGACACCTCTGATCTAGTAGATTTGTACTAGGGAGTAACATTGTTGGTGCACTACCTATCAGCAAACCGACAAATTGTAATTCTTTCATGACATTCAGGTGTGAGGATTGTGGCTTAAAGGGAATTTAAGACACTTTTTACGATGTTTGTTTTATTTCTTTAGTGATCATAAATGCAGTCAGGAGGGAGATTTTTCTGCAGATCATGAGTACATGTATTTTTATTTAATTTGAGAGCGTTGCAGAATGATGTGCCGGCACAGGGGTGGATCAGATATCTGGAACAGAAGTGTTGTGCAGCAACATCACAAACTCAGTCCTCACAGTTGGATTATCTGAGCTCACAGAGGATGTGTGGGTGTGTTTGTGTGTTGCTGGCGTGTTGGTGTGGTCCAACTCTGTAGCACAGAGTTATTACCTTTTCTTGGATTTCTTCTAATTTTCAGAAAACAGCCAGCAACATTTATTCCAGCATTTATTCTATTTCCTTTCCTGAGCCCGGTCGTGTGTGTGACTCTGTTTTTGAGGTGTCAGGGATAAGTTACATTTATGTGTTTATGCAGTAGCTGCCATTCATCTGTAAGGCGCTTTTTACTGGAGGTGAGTAGGAGCTCAGTGTCAGAGCTGTGTTTGTAAAGATGTATTACATACAAGAAACATTGAAATATACCTTTGGTGGAGGAAATGAGTGGGATTTCTGCTATTATGTCCTTATTAAATGTGAAAACTGAAGCCCTGTGGGTATGTTTGTGCACACATGTAGCCTTTAGTCCGCAGACTGAGTAGAAACACTGGCTCTGCTTTAAGTTAAATGTGTGTGCTGAGTATCAACAGGTGGGCCTCTCTGGACTGTCCCATATACACTATTGTATAGAAACTCATTTTATATTCATTTTCCCAAGTGCAATGAAGAGTTTGTTTGCATGTGTGTGTTGTGTCTCAGTAACATGTAGCCATCCAGAAACATCTGCTCTCTTTTCACTCCGAGCCCTGCCTCCAGACCGCAGAGCATTTAGTTCAAAACGTTTCGCGTGACGAAAACCAAAATGCTCTCCGGCGGAGCGTTTAGACGACTGGCATCGACATTGGGGCAGGTTTTATTTTATTTTCCTGGTGGTGGTAAAATTGCACTATTTCTGGGAAATTTTATAACCTTTCTTTATATTATGCAATCTTTGTAAGATTATTTGTGCACTGACTTTATTTTTTAAAAGACTGTGGTTTAGCTGTGTGCCGTATTTTCCTCCTATCGCGCCCCTTTGAATGGACACTCGTCCCTCTATGGTCTCTACTCGACCTTTTCATGATTAAATGTTACTGTATAATATTTCTTGGCCTTTTGTTTGTTTTTGGTTTATTTGTAACAGACCATCCAGCCAGAGACAGTTTGGTGGATTGTGGAGATTTTTAGAGCGATGCACCAAAGGCAGACAGTGCGGAGAACTGTGCACGTGTCGAGCAGCTCCTCATTTCTTCATATTTCGCAAACATGTGGAAATATAGTGTACGAGGCAAAAAGAGTTTATACAAGTATAATTAGCTAGAAAATTAATGTGTCACCAGATTTATTCTTTTACAGTCTGAACTCTGAGGCAGCTTTCTGTTGTTTCTTTCTGGAATAATTCTCCAAACTTTAAAGGACATGTGTCTCCTTGGAAGCACAATATAAAGAAATGAGGGTTGGCTCAAGACTTTTGCACATCAGTTTATTTCATAGCAAAAGATCACACACTTGCAACAAAGTTTATAAACTCAGGAGTTCAATTATTCTCTTTTTTTTTTTTAGCTATGCACCTGAGTTGGTTTCTTTCACAGCGTCACCAAACAGCAGGTAGCACTGAATCCTGACTGTATCTAAAAGATGGAAGTCGTACCCATGATGTCACTCGCTGTTTTTGGACTCTGCATTTTGAAGCCTAAATATTACTGATTTGGCTGCCACTGAATTAGGGTTCTTGGAGAAGTTATCATATTTAAGTGGTGTGTTAAATTAGCAGCCAGCGGTGGTGTTAATGTACAGACACAGTTACCTGGTGGTTTATTAGCAACAGACTAATAAAATACTATGAATTTCAGTCACCAAAACAGATTAATGAGCTTCTTTTGTGGTTATTATTTGTCTGATAATTCCATTAAAATGCTCCAGAAGGGACCAGCACCACATTTCAGTGAGGTGATGAATAGCAGACAGATGTGTCCTGTCACAGGCAGCTATAGCATAACACTGTCAGACCAGCCATGTCCCCAACTTTGAGTCTCACCATTATCCAGATCAGCACAGGCTGTCTCGCTCCCACCTTCAACACACAGCAGTCTTACCAGAGCAAAGTGGTCCACTGAGGATGCCACAGAACACCAGAGGAGCTCTGAGAGGATGCTTTTTACTGACTATACAGCACTATCATCCTGGACATCCCATCATCACATTTGCCTGTGATACAACGACTGACTCTGCCTACAGAGATTTTGAGATTGGAAAACAAAGGAGCAGCGGTGCAGACCTGGCCCCCTCTGCATCAGTGGTGCCAACCTTCAAATTCCTTGGTACCTTCATCTCCCTCAGCACGGCCAAACGTGTTTTCTGGCAAACGCTACAGACCACTGAGACCAAGAACAGAACACCAGCACCACAGTGACCCTCAAGACGCACCCAGGGACTCTGATCACAACCAAGACCAATATTCTAATTACTGAAACAAAAACCACTGTGAAACACATCATCAGTAATGCTCCTTCGCCTAGCATGATTGCATCTTACATCATTACCTTTATCTATTAGTTCACGCCCATTCATCTTAGAGATGTCACCTAAAGGAACAGTAAAGTATTTTTGTGCAGATATATTAATACTTTTAAACTAAGATTAATTGTGAAATTAATCTGGAATAGAAAAGTTATCCTGTTTAGAACTCGATTATATTACTTATTTAAAATTACAATAATAATAATAACATCGGATTCATGTTTTTGGTTTTTTGTTTTTTACTTTATTTATCACATTTTAGACATACAGTCAAGTAAAACAGGGATCACATAAAAGATGACATTGTGGTAGTACAATGAGGAACAGAAAGAGTGACAAGGACAGTGAGACAAAAGTGAGTACAAAAAATAAAATAAATTAAGGGGAACATAAATAAACAAAAGTTTGCAAGAGCCAAAATCAAGTTAGCAGTTTCAATTGGTTATAGATGTTAACAGTCTTGAGAGCCTTAGTGTTTTTTGATGAGGAGATTGTCCTTATATATTGTGCAAGTTCCATTTTTAATACAAGAAGTTCAGGCTTTCTGCCGAGGACTTTGCTTTTGTGTATATGAAATTTTGCCAAAAATAAAACCTAATTTATAAAGAAGAAAGCATCATTGTCCTTGTCTTTAAAATTATAATAGCCAAAGATAGCATCCTTATAGTACAGTTGAAGATTAGGGAGAACAGAGTCGGTAATAAACTTGTGGAAATCCTTCCAGAATTTACACGTAAATTTACACGACCAAAACAGATGAGAAACTGTTTCAGGTTGCTCTTGACAGAAGGTACAATTTACATTTATTTCAGCCATAAATTTGGACAAATATTGTTTGGTAGGGTAAAACTTATGAATCAACTTAAAGGAAATCTCTTTAATTTTGTTTGTCAAGAAAAACCTTTGTGGTAAAGTCCAAACTTTTTTCCATTTTTTTGCATCCTGAAAGAGAGATCTTAGTTTGGTATTTATAGACTTATGAGAGGAAAAGCAAACATTGCCAAGAGAAGAATGTATCGGATTCATGTTTACACGTCTCCAGTTATAACGCATGATGTCATCTGTAGACGCGGGACCCGAGCAGCAGTGACGTGTAAGTGTGCGACTGTGATCTTTTGTGCTGACTCCGAAGGAGCCTGCAGTTTATTGTGAAGCAGAAAATATCTGCGGACACCATGAATGGAGCGGATTATCTGCAGCAGCACAGCGCCGAGAGTCTGTCCTTCGAAGAGATGCAGCAGATTAACCCGCTCGGAGTCCATCAGCAGCAGAAAGACGAGGGCAGCCAAACCTCCGGTGAGAATAACGACAGATTTAATGTGGAGGAAACGGGCTAGCTGCTAACACACCAGACAGGGATGGCCGTGTGTGGTTTTTTTCTTTTCACTTCATTAAATCAGTTCACATTATCCTGGAACAGCTCGTAGGACACAAGTAACACCGGTGTGAGTTAAGGTTGGTTATGAGGAGGAGTGCAGCGATCCAATCTTTCCCAGTTTCCGATCTGCTTCAGGGTGGAGGGCTGATTCTGCATCTACAGCTGTGGTCACAGGTTTACATCCACTCATCATGGTCACGAATGTCACTGTCATATGGAGTTAGAGCTGGGCGATATGAGATTTTTTCACATCACGATATGTTTTTTTCATTTCAGGCGATAACGATATCTATCACGATATAAGCCAAATAACTATATTTGTAAGATTTAAATGTGCCGTTGCTCACAAGTAAAATGTGAAATAATCAGCAGCTTGTTTTTATTTAAATATTTATTTCCCATAATAAGTTCAACAGGGTAGATGTACTTAAGGAACATGAGACTTTTTCAGATAAATAAAGGCAAATATTGCAAACTACACAAAAGGCAGCCGCTAAAGCGTTTAAGTTTCAAAATAGAACAAACAAAACAGACTAAATTGTCAATTCCACTTAGAAACAAAATATTAATTCTAAAAATAAATCTTAGTTTGTTTTACAGAAGAACAGACAAAACTGACTAACTTTTGTCAATATCAAATAAACTGAGAACTAAAAGGAAATTCTCAATCTCTCCTTGTTGTATAGCTGAGCTTTTCAAACAGTTGTAACAGTTACTTTAGTCTGACAAAAGCCGAATGACGAATTAGCGCTTCCAGTCAGAGACTGAGGCTACGTCCACACGTACACGGGTATTTTTGAAAACGGAGATTTTCCGTTTTCGTTTTAAAAATAATCCCGTCCACACATAAAGGGAGAAATGAAGGAAAACGCTGCTATGAACATGCCAAAGCAGCAGGTGGCGCTAGATTCCTAACCGTGCAGAAATGTTGGCCAATCAGAAGTCTAGAAGCCTCGGTGGGAAAAAGTAAACAAAGCTGCGGCATAGAAGCAGAACCGAGTCGTATGTGTGGACGGACAGTAACTGTGTGTATATGTAAGCATTTAAACACTGCAGAGAGTAGAATTAACAGTATTGTAGAAATTCATTTCACCGAAACAATAACGTGGCGCACAGTGTGACGCATGCACCAGTTTATTGTATTTCCAGACTTGCTTTCGGCACAATTTACAGTGCACGCTACTCTGTTTTTTGTCAGACTTGAAATAGCCGAAATACCTTCACACTACGGAACTTCTATGGCTCTTCCGTTCGACAATCTCTCCGGCGTTGGAACCATCATCTGTTTTCTCTTCGGTCACGCTCGGTTGATTTTTCTAGTCGGCACACTCATTTCCTCCATTACCCGCTGGCTGCTTCCCAAACAAACACACGTGCGGCTTGGCACTTGTGCTGTACGTAACAAGTCACGCGACGTGACGCTGCGGCTGTGATTGGTTCGGCTCTGCGCTACTTAATTTGGATTGGCTGACCTTTTTAAAAAAAAAAAAAAAAAAAGAGGACAAGAGCGGCGAGGTCTATCGCGATAGCTTAATTTCTCTATCGAGTAAAAGTTATATCGCGATACATATCGTTATCGTTCTATCGCCCAGCTCTATATGGAGTTTATCTGATCTTTTTGCAGCGTGGAATGATTGTATTTTTAATGCGTGTTTTTTTTCCCCTCTTCATCCACACAGGGTCAAAAATATACATACAGATTCAAATATAAACATAAAATCTAAACTTTTGGTTGGTTAAATGTCCCTTAACAAACTGCACTTCAGCTTTTTGTTGTTTTTGTATCCATCAACAAGCTTCTGGCATAATTCTGACTGAATATTTGACCACTCTTCCTGGCATAACTTTTGTTTTTAAATTGGTTCGTTCCTTGGCACAGATCAGCTCTTAAGTATAGTCCTCAAATAGGGTTGAGGTCGGAGCCACGTAAATCCAGATGTTTAATGCTAGCCTGCTTTATCCATTTCAAAACCAGTGATGTGTTTGGGATCGTTCTCCTGCGGAAACATCCAACCATGTCCAAGCTTGAACCATCAAGCTGTTGATCTGATGTGAAGTTGAGGGATTTGGAGGTAGTTTTCCTTCTTAATTATTCCATTCACGTTGTGTTATATACCAGTACCACTGGCAGGAAATGGGCCACAGCATGTTTGACAGTCAGTCTTCTTAGGTTTGAATTCTTCAGCTCGACTCTTGTATTTGTGACCAAACAGCTCAATCTTTGTGTCGTCTGACCACAAAAGTTTTCTCGAGAAGGCATTTGGCCCGTCCACGTGGGCAGCTGCACATTTCAGTTGAGCTTGAAGGTTTTGATTTTGGAGCAGAGGCTTCTTTGTTGGTCGGTACCCTGTAACCCTGGCTTCACTGTGGACAGTTGTGCTGGTGTTACAGTAGTTTCCAGTTCATGGCAGGTATGAGCCTCGATGTTTCCTGGGCTGTTCCTGAACATCCTAACCATAGTCCTCCTTTCTGAGTCTGACAGTTCTTCAAGACCAAAGTGGTGACACGTCTGAATAATTTGTACTTGTGCGAGTGAATGTGAGTGCGAATGGTTGTCTGTCCCTGTGTGTTGGCCCTGTGACAGACTGGCGACCTGTCCAGGGTGTACCCCGCCTCTCGCCCTATGACAGCTGGGATAGGCTCCAGCGCCCCCCGCGAAGCTGAAAAGGATAAGCGGAAGCGAATGGATGGATCTCTGCAGATCCTTAAACATCCTGGTTTAAGCTGCAGCCTTAGGTCAGCTTCTACAGAGCACTGTTTACAGCAATGGCTTCTTCCTCCAGGCTGGATGGACACTGAAATAACCCACTGTTCAGGCCATGTGCACATTGTACTACACAATTTGCACTTTTAAAATTAATATCTAAGGTTCATCAAGGTTGCACTCACCAGTATACAGACGTTTGTTATAGTTTGTATAGTTTTTTAAGACTTTCTGTTACTTGTATCCTCATATTTATGTTCTCCTTGTGAATATGTTGCTTATTTAAAATGGTTTCTTTTTGTATACAGAGAGCAAAGGGAACCAGAGTCAGATTCCTCATCTGTATGCACAAACTCGGCCAAATAAAGATGACTCTGAATCTGAACAGGCTTTGATCCTGACAACTTAAGACATACATTACAGCATCACTCATTAAAAGGCCAGAATCACCATGGTGTTCATGCCCTTGATGAGTGGATGGAAACTTCTGACCAGAACTGTAACCATAGCAGTGTTTTCTTCTGACTGAACACTCAAATTACTTTTTACTTGCTTTACAAGCCACATTCACACATTTACACACCACTTCTTACTGTGTGCCTTTGTGTGTCTGTGGAGCAGGGCATCAAATTAGCTCCACTTTTAAGGTGCAGCAGTCTAAGCACAGAAGCCCACGCGGTCTCTAAGGGCTGATTTGGATTTCTGTGGGGAGCTGGTGACGTAACCTACATAAGTGGCTGACATTTTTGCTGGCATTTACACTTGTGCTGGTGCATTATGGGTTAGTTGCAGTTTGTCCCGGTGTTTCATATGTAGTGCCAGCCAACAGAAATAAATAAAATACTGGGTCCTCACCTTTGTCAGAAAAACATGTTTTTCCCTCTAGTTTTCCCCCATTCTTTGTAGTTTCAGCATTCTCCTTCCAGGAATCTGCTGGTATTTGTGAGTCGTTATATTGATGCTGTAATTATTATTCCTTGTATCAAGACAGCGATTGTTATTCTCTCACTAATCAACAGTGCTGAACAGAACAACCACATTAGTTGGCAACTTTGACCTGACATGTAGTTACATTCCCCAGGAGGTGCATGTCAGGATTGCACACTTACACAGAGAGCAGAGACATCCTTCAGACGAGTCCTGTTTCTTCTTCTACTTTTATCTGCAGTGTCAATATTTCACTTCTGTCACTGCCCACAGCTCGTTGCCATAGGTGAGGGTAGCAGCATATCATAGGAGTGCACCAAACATAATGAGAAAGACAGGGAAGGTTATGAAAAAACCATTAGCAAATACACAAATAAAAGTTGTTGTTGTTTTGTTTGTTTTTGCAGTTTTCAGTTTACAAGTCAGGTCCATGCCAAATAGCGCTAATGGATATGTAACCATGACAATGTCATACAAAGAAAAAATGGACATGTTTCTCTTGAATTGGACTGAGTTGTAATTTATATGCAGTTTATTTTTCCTAACGTGTGACGTCTGTGTGTTCTTGATGGTTTTGCTTGTTTGTTTAAACTTCTTTTTTAATATGTAAGTGACCTCATTTCTTATGTTTGTTTGTTTTTATGCCTGTGAAGCTCTTTGAGCCTCTTTATGTGATTATGTATGAGGCAAATAAAAATGAATTGGACTGAATTGGATTTAGTGACCATTTGAATCTGTTTTTTTAAACGCACATATAATGCAAAACTGGGGGGAAAAAAACTAAACTAAACTGAGCAGTTAGCTCAGGTGATGAATACATGGGCAAAAAGTATTTATCAGCCACATGTGCAAGTTCCCCACCTAAATGATGACAGAGGTCAGTAATTTTCACCAAGTACACTTCAACTGTGAGAGACAGAATGTGAAAAAAATCCATGAATCCACATGGTAGGATTTGTAAAGAATTTATTCGTAAATCAGGGTGGAAATAAGTATTTGGTCAATAACAAAATACAACTCAATACTTTGTAACATAACCTTTGTTGGCAATAACAGAGGTCAAACGTTTACTATAGTCTTTACCAGGTTTGCACACACAGTAGCTGGTGTTTTGGCCATTCCTCCATGCAGATCTTCTCGAGAGCAGTGATGTTTTGGGCTGTCGCCGAGCAACACGGACTTTCAACTCCGCCACAGATTTCTATGGGTTGAAGTCTGGAGACTGGCTAGGCCACTCCAGGACTTTCAAATGCTTCTTACGGAGCCACTCTTTGTTGCCGGCGGTGTGTTTTGGATCATTGTCATGTTGGAAGACCAGCTCGTTTCATCTACAAAGTTCTCACTGATGAAGGAGGTTTGGCTCAAAATTCACGATACATGGCCCATTCATTCTGTCCTTAACACGGATCAGTCGTCCTGTCCCTTGGCAGAAAAACAGCCCCATAGCATGATGTTTCCACCCCATGCTTCACAGTAGTATGGTTCTTGGATGCAACTCAGTATTCTCTTCCTCCAAACACGACGAGTTGAGTTATACCAAAAAGTTCTACTTTGGTTTCATCTGACCACATGACATTCTCCAATCTCTCTGTATCATCCATGTGCTCTCTGGCAAACTTCAGACGGGCCTGGACATGCACTGGCTTCAGCAGCGGAACACGTCTGGCACTGCGGATTTGATTCCCTGCCGTTGTAGTGTGTTACTGATGTGACCTTTGTTACTTTGGTCCCAGCTCCGTGTGGCTGCTCTGCAATAAAGTTTCAAATCCAGGCATCCACGAGAAACAGGATTTATGAAGTTTGAAGTTCTGAAAAAATTCTGAAAAATTAAAAACATACAGCTCTGCTATCCAACATAAATGAAGACAGAAAACGAAACACCAGTGACGTTTGTAGGGTTGCTGAAGTTGGGCTAGCTGGTATATAATGTTGTGGTGGCTAGCTACAGAGCTATGGTTAGCATAATACAAACACACAGTGAAGCTGGAGGATGAACGCCAAATCTTTATCCCATCGATAAAAATTAAGATGAAGGTTCACGATTTTTAGGGACAAATGCAATCACATGGCAGGAGAAAGATGCTCTAATTGGACCAAACGTCACTCAGGAGATAATCCATTCAGAATTAGTCATTAATATACTGCTGCATGGTTTATATTACTCATAATTTAAAAAATCCCGATCCTCAGCTTCATGTACCCATTCAAATCTTTGTTGGCCTCAGAATTATTTTTTTCTAACCTGATCAAATATTTGATGCCTGGCAAACTGTGAGCTGCTGGGCTGTAGTTACACCGTGAGGTTTTAAAAACTGAGCTTTAAAACAAGTAATTTTGTAATGGTTTTGTAATTGATTCATTCTTTGCTGGAAGACATAATTACACATTATTCAATACAATATATATATTTATGAGTATAACATATATATCTAATTCCATGGCCTGTACCTTTAAATTATTATTTATATGATGGCTTTGAAGCAGGAATTCTCTTATAAACTCTGGTGAAGCAAAGTGAAAAAAACCCCAACTTGTTTCACTTTCACAAACTCCTTCATCCTGACAGCATTTCTTTTAAAACACTCACTGGAAGTACAATGATAAAGCATTTCTTTTATTGCAGGCTAAAAGTCGACTAGAAACACAAGCTTGCTAAAGATTTTCACTCATCTCAGTATAGTTTCATTCTTTCTTCTAATTTCTATCAGATTCCTAGAATACTCCAGTGCTACAATTGCCTTTATAATAATTTAACTCCATGTGTTTTGCTGTTTTCTGCAGAAGTTCAGCAGCTGCTGGAGATGAAAGAGGATCACCCTGAATGGAGCCTCGGTCTGGACCAGCAGGACCGAGAGTCTCTGCAGATAAAGGAGGAACAGGAAGAACTCTGGACCAATCAGGAGGGAGAGCAGCATAATGGATTGAAGGTGACTGATGTCACCACTTTCCCATTCACTATTGTTACTGTAAAGAGTGAAGATGATGATAAAGAGAAGTCTCAGTCTTTGCAGCTTCATCAAAGCCAAACTGAAGACAACAGTGAGATGGAGCCTCTGACCAGCAGCCCAGCTAAACAGGTAAAAACAGAGCCTGATGAAGAGGACTGTGGAGGACCAGAATCAGAAGGGAACCTTGATACACATATTTATTTACAACCAAAAACTGATGTAAAGGCTTCAGACTCTTCTGAGACTGAAGTGAGTAATGATGATGATGACTGGAAGGAGCCTGTATCAGATTCTGGACCTAAAACCAGACACAGTGATGATGTTTGGAAGGTGAGCAGGGAACTTGAGTCAGGCATAAAGAGTCAGGGGGCATTTAACATTTTAAACAAATCCTTTAGCTGCTCAGAGTGTGATAAAGAGTTTCTCCAAAGGCAGTCTCTTCAAAAACACATGACATGTCATTCAAAAATAATTATCCTCCAGCTCCAGCTTGGAAATTAAGAAATCTCATACAGTGAGGAAAAATGTAGAGTCTCAGAGGACAGACCACACCGAAGAGAAACCATTTGGCTGTAATGTTTGTGAAACAACTTTAAGACAGCGGTATAGTCTTGACAGAGACATGAGAGTTCACACAGGAGAGAAACCATTTGGTTGTGATATTTGTAGCAAAAGATTTTCATATTCACGAGATTTGAAAAGACACCAGAGTGTCCATACAGTAGAGAAACAATTTAGTTGTGGTGTTTGTTGTAAAAGATTCAAGCAGAAGATGCATTTCAAGGCTCACAGAAAAGTCCACACAGCAGAGAGGCCATTGGGTTATGAGCCATATAGCTGCGAGGTTTGTGGCAAAAGATTTAACCAAAACACTCATCTTAAGTCTCAAATAAGAATCCACACACGAGAGAAACTTTTCTGTTGTAAGATTTGTACAAAGAAATATAGACATTCTTCTACTTTCAATAAACACATAAAAATTCACACAGGAGAAAAACTGTTTAGATGTGATGTCTTTGGTAAGATATTTACTAATCACGAAAGTTTGAAGATTCACAAGATAGTCCATACTGGAGAGAAACCATATGGCTGTGGTGTTTGTGGCGAAGGATTCAACCGAGGAAGCAATCTGAAGAGACACATGCAACTTCATGTGGGAGAGAAACCATTTGGCTGTGAAGTGTGTGGGAAGAACTTTACATGATCTGAAAAACTGAAAAGACGTGAAAGTTAATGTAAAAGAGAAACAGTTTGGTAGTGCAGAAATTTTTACGTGACAGGGAAGTCTGAGACACATGGGGACATGTTAATAATGTATTCCCAGTTGTTCACATTTCCATTATTTTGTACAATTAATTGCTACATAAATATAAAACAGTGATACTAGTTGTACTTGGGGTAATATACAATCTATCATTGGTAAATCAGTACTTATAGGTAAGAAATTAGACCTCAGTTAATTTATATCAGGAGAGATAGTTGGAGAAGATCACCTTTAGGACTTTCTGTTAGCTTCCTGGAAGTCATAATGATCAAGAAAGCCACTATAGGCTTTGGTGACTAAATGGGTCCAGGGCTTGCAAAATCGCTAGCCCGACGTCCCGGAGCTAGCGATATCTCCGGTCGGGCCACCAAAATCTGTTGGGTTATCATATAGCCCAACGGTCGGGGCTGAGAAAGATTTTGGTGGCCCGACCGGAGATATCGCTAGCTCCGGGACGTCGGGCTAGCGATTTTGCGAGCCCTGCGGGTCAAAGACAAGACTTTTACAAGTTAGAGTGAGCCTTAATCCCACTGTGAAATGTATCTATTTCTGTGTTTACCTTTTAAAAGAATTTGTTTGACATGATTTGAGTTGAAGCAAACTTTCTTGGGAATATAATTTTATTTTGCACACAAACAGTTTTTGGCCTTGGATACTCTGCTATATATAGTTTTAAATAAGGTTTAATGTACTTAAACTTGGAATATAATTTTATTAATTATATGACCAACAATGTGAAACTGTATATAGTTTTTTTTGTTGCCTTATGCCCCTGTTACACAGGCCTAGAGACCAGTTGACTATCATCCTGCCAACCACTGGTCGCTAGGGTAAAATGTGTAATCCCCGACTGCTTGGCAAGTGGTTGCTGGCTGTCACGAGCTAAAATTAATGGCAAAGAGGTGTATTGTGTTGCACCAAAAACCTCATAGCGATTGCTTTGGTTGCTAGCAGATTGTTACCCATAGTTTGCATGGACACAGACACTCTGCAGACACTCAATAACTACTTGCCGAGCGGTCAGCGGGACTGGTTGGTGACCTTGAGAGCTTTTAATCACTTGACCTCTAACTGTAAATGCAGGTGTGCCGACAGCGCCAACAAGTCTACAGCCAGTCACCAAACATGATGCAAAAAAACGTGTCAAGATTCAGCATCCCGCCAATGGAAAGGAGGACTGCACGTAGATCCATGAAAGGAAGAGGGAGATGGCAGAAGTGCCTGCCTGCCAGTTCCAGTTCGGACATCACTCTTGCAACCTCTCAATACCAGAAGGACTCGGACGAAAACAGTGACCCCTCGCTGTCACTCATTGCCAACATGCCACACACAATGCTGGAGCCGGGCTCGTCAGCCAGCCTGCACGGACGTGTTGGCCACAGAGTTGTGACCGGGGAGCCAGAGTTGGAGATAGAGGATGAAAAGCCAATGGTGTCACATTGGCCCGGGGTCAAGAAGAGGATCCGGATGGAGCCAGAGGCGACTCTCTCGCCCGAACAGGAAGACCACCTCGTAGAGTGGTTTGCAGCTCACCCGTTCTTCTACGACCAGACAGCACGCGACTTCAAGGACAAGCGCAGGCGAGAGCAGCTGCTGGATCAGAAGGCCGAGGAGCTAGGAGTTACCGGTGAGCTATGTCTCTGTAATTTCTGTTGATGCTCAGTATCTTAAAACACTCTAACGTTTTTTATCTTTTTTTAAACGGGACATTTATGTTTGTGTTTTTTTTTCGACTGTGCTCAGGGAACTTCCTCTGGGGGTGGTTCCGCAACATGCGGACCGTCTATGGTAAACTAAGGAAGAAGAAGAATGAGCAAGCAACACGACCACTGACAGCCAGGCAGCGGTGGACTTCAGATATGTTCAAATTCTTGGACAAGCACATGACCATCCGCAGGAGCAGCCTGGGAAAGGTAGAGTAATATGCCCTTTTGTTTGTTTGTTTTTTTCTCCCTTGTAGCTGCTCTGTTTAATGGCGTTTCAGGGGAAGTAGTTAAGCAAAAGTAAATGTGCTATAAAATGTCTGCACTTGCCTTGTATGCATTTGATATTTATGTTAATGTTTGTTTGCTTGTGTTTAAAAAGCTTCAAGGGGCACAGTCCACCAATACCGGAGTGGAAGAGGAGGAGGAGGAAGAGGAAGAAGAAGAAGGAGACGAAGAGCCTGCGAGGTCATCAAGTCGTCCTGGGTCTCCGTCTCCTGTTCCCTCCAGTCAAACCCCAAAGTTAAAGGGCAAGAAGGCCAAGCTCGCCAGCCGCTGCGTCAACAAGGCAGTTCTTCAAATCCCAAACAGCATGTCCTCACTGCAGACGGCTATGAGGTCCCTGCAGGTAGCTATGGAGTCCCTGCAGGCGGCCGTTGGGGGGTTGAGCAACAACCGAGTCATGTACTGTCAATACCTGAGCACCGAGGTGGGCATGCTCACAGAGGAACAGTGGTCAATGTTTCAGCAGGAGACTATGGGGATGCTTATTCGTTTCCGTACTGCCCGTCAGCAGCGGCAGCAGTCCGCAGTTCCAGTCCTCCTCCCTCCGGGCTCCATGGAGTCGATTCCAGGCCCGAGCAGCACTCTGCTCAGTAGTTCCTATTTCCAGTCCCGGCCAGCACCGCCCCAGTAGCCTCTGTCCCAGCAAATTAATTTTTTTATTGAATTTGTGAACTATTTCACAATTTATTTACTGATCATAGTTGAGTGTTTATGTTAATAAACAATCATGTTTCACTGGTACTTACTTCTTGATTCCTTGTATCACAGTAGTAAAACTTGTGCCTTACAGCTGCAAGACATTTTAATTGGCGCAAATTTTACTTTGAGGCGGAGAGTCTCAGTTTCTTGTCGGTGTTATGTGTAAACTTGAAAAATAGAAAAAGCAGATGTTTCTCATTATATTGTACTTTATACATGGACCATTGTGACCTTTAAATTCTTATATTCTAAATTTGAAATTAAAATTTCAATTTCTTTTCATGTGAGTGAACTATCTTGTATTTTGTATTTATTACACTGGGATATAGGGATACCAAAAAAGCTAAAAATAATTGCCTTATTCATTCAAATCTCTCCACAGCCACAAGTTAGCCTACCAGGTTAGAGCTCCAGCAGTGTTATAGTCATGCTTCAGGTAGACTCGCTGCCTTTTGTCATCATGACTTCCTGCTACGAATATCTTGCATGACTGCCTCGTCTCTCCAGGCTTTGGGGATAATGTGTTTGGCATTTTCCTCATGATCCAGGACTGAACACAACATTTAGACACATGCGGACACAATCAAACTGATGACATTTGGCATTTGTTGAAGTTCTGTGGAGAGACAACAGAAGCTGTGGCCAAGTATCTCTTTTTTGTTTTCCACTATATTTATGCTTGACGAAAGTTGGTAGCTAAGGATTCTCCGCACTCCATCAAGTGCCAAACTTCTTACTCACCTCCTGTCAACTGTCAAGGGTGCCTGGCATAGACGTGACACCATCTTCAGGGTGTCTACAGTGGCACCACAGAACAACACCAGAAATGGCGCTATACTAACCACAGACAGAAGACTAGAGTGCGTTAGCTGCTGGTAGTCACCAGGTACTGGGAGGTCGGTGCCATTTTGATGCCAGGTTAAAAGGACAGCTGCAGTTAGAAGATGTCTTTGTCAGGCAGACGATCTGCAGAAGCATGTGATACATGGCAGACTTAATTCTCAGGGATTAAACAAAGACAACCCTCTCCAATTCTGCCATCAAGTTTTCTTATTGAACTACTGAATTCAGCATGTTACCAATGCCTGAGGACAGCCATTACTACATTAAGGATGGAGAGTAAAGAGACATAATGAGATCTGAATTGTCCGGCAAGGTGAGTAGGACTGGAGTTGCTCTGAGGATCCTGCTACATATACCCAGTCTGGGTTGATCTCCCACCCACCAGGTGCTGATCACTGAAGAGTAGTTACCTGCCAATTGGTAGGGGAGGTCCACAACCAGCAACCAATCTGAGTCGATTCAGTTGCACAACCAGTCGCCAACCACCTAGCAAATGAAAATATGAACTTCACTTGATTTAGTGGTTGCTGGAGGTCATGAGTATTTGGGGCTGCCCACAGGTCTCTACACCTGTGTGACTGAAGCATTAATTTATCAGCAGCACTCGTGCTTACCTGCATTGTCAACCACCGAAGACACAATTTAAGAAGGAATATTAAAACACAAACTCGACATATTAGAAAGCCTTTCTGGCAGAAAACCCTCAGGTTTGATTTCTGCAGAAGGCAGCAGCTGTTTTGGGCTAAACCGAACACAGTGAGTGGGATATTTAATAAAGTTTAATAAAAATGCAATACTTGTTTCATTATGGATATAAATCAGCAGCACCTTAGGTAAAGCTTTACCAGTACCAGTATGTTGGATGTATCTGCTGAACCAGTGCTTATTTTGGGCATCAGGTTCACCTGGGAACAGTTTTAAACTCTGAACGACATAGTTTAGTGAGCAGAACTCGATATCAGATTAATTCAGTGGTGTATTTCAATGTTGTTAAAATTTAGTTTATAAAATTTTGATGACATGTTTTTTTTTTTTCATTTTGAAGATTTTTCATGAGCATTGTAATTTAAATGGCAAAAGCAGTGTAATTCCTCCAGCTGACTGAATGTATTTGTTAGCAACTGGGTAATCAGTCATGTATGTGTAATGTCAAAGAGTATGATTATGACTGTGGAGGACCAGAGCTCCCAACAAAAAATAAATAAAAGACTAAAACAAACAACTTAATTTGCCTTTAAAACAAAGAGTGCTAAAATAAAAGTAGGCATGAATTAACACGCAAAATGTGACCAGTTGATATTTCTCTTGTATTTGCTTTTTGTGTTTATTTCTCAGTTTGCTGTCCCTTGCAATGTTCATTTAGATAGATCTGTTTCATTTCTTTGTTTCTTGAAACATTTACGTCTGTCTTCTTTTTGTGATGATGAAATGTAAACTAGACCCATTTAAATTCTTAACTGTTGAGCAACTAAAATTCTTTATGAAGCAAAAATTCAAAATGTGTATATCATGTTGTTGAATGCATTTTCTTTCATAAAACAACATTAAATACTTGACCTGTGTTTTGTAGTCACCAGTCTTCTTCTTTAATGGCTTTGTTTGTTTGTTAGGAGCTGCTGTATGGAGCTGATAAAAACTCCACAGGATACCTTTCAATAGAAGAGGTAATGCCTCCTTTCCCCCCAGCTGTTTTGAAACAATGTAAACATTTTCAAAAAGCAATGTTACTGATATCAACATTTAATGTGTTTTGTTTTTGAACTAGTTCAAGTTTTGAGGCTTTAAACTCTTTGCAAATGGCCTCATTCTAATTTTATTTACATGTTGTATTCCAACATTTGGAAACAAGTTTAAATAAAAAAAGTGGGTAGAAGAGGAACTGCATACTTTATAAACAGTGTTTCATTATATCTAATTTTATTAAATGGATGCTCAGTATAGTTACATGCACAGACCTGTTACAGGACACATCTTCAGAGGAAGATTTGAATATTTAAGATTAAAAATAGTATCCACCGGATTGTTTTTTTTTTTTTTAATGCTCAAATTTGTATTTTGAAGAAAGAAAACGGCTTCTTTTGGGGTGTTTTTATTCTTTAATAAAGAAAATACATTTTTAAAAGTAATGACTGTGAAAATAAATTACGATTTAAGATAAACCGTTTTATTAAACAGCTAAGGATGCAGCAAAAGTAAAACAATAATTGTTTTTTTTACATTATGCATCTTAAATGTGTTCTTGTATTTTTTTGTGCGCTGTGCACATTTCACACAGTGCGTTATACTGTATATAAAAGACAAATAACCACATGTGTTATATAACCATATGTGTTTATTGTATGTTAATAACTGTATTTGCGTTTTTATTGTTCTTAATATGGACGTTAAAATGCTTTGTCCCTGTGTAATGTCTTGTTGTTGTTTTTTACATTAAAAAAACTTTTAAAAAACTGTAAGTGCGAATAACCTTTAATCACGCACAATGTTAAACCACAATTAGAACACATGTGCTGTGTGTGTGCTTAAGTAGTTCCATGTCATACTACTCGATATATTGAAACGACATAATGTATTCTGTATCCACTACATACAAATACATAAAATATTATTCTACAAATGTGTTGTACAGTAAATGGTAAATGGCCTGCTTTTGTATAGCGCTTTACTTAGTCGCTAAGGACCCCAAAGCTCTTAACACTACATTCAGTCACACACTGGTGATGGCAGCTACATTGTAGCCACAGCCACCTTTGGCCCGCACTGACGAGGCGAGGCTGCCGGACACTGGCGCCACCGGGCCCCCTGAACTGTACTTGACCCATGAAAACATTCCTCTCACCATCGTCTTTTTGATGTGCATCCTCATGCATCCCACTGAGGAAACCGTTTCGCCAGCAGACACTAGGTAGGAACCTTCTGCTGGTTCTCCGGTGTTGCTAGGGGGAACAAAATACAGATCGGGTTGATCATCAAAGAAAGGTCGGCTCTGTGTTCGTGTGGACCCTCCTGATGGAGGGGTTGTGTTGTCCCTGTAGAACCGCCGCTGGAGCTGGATAATCGCTTTGTTTGGAAAGCCGAAGCCTGGAAAACAAACTGAGGATGAAGAATCATTTTTAAGAGGAAGAAAAGCGATGGAGCTGCAGACCTCACCGTCAGAGCAGCGAAAATACAAAGACGCAAAACTAATCCTGGAAAGGACGCCTCAGGGAAGCACCAGGGTAGATCTCGGGCTTGCTTACTCCAGGTGGGCTGCACTGAAGAGGGACAAATGTTTCCAGACTGACGCTGAACTGGCCGCCTTTCTGCTGGACTGGTAATTTAAACTACCTGTGTGATTAAAAATAGGGTGTAGGCATCAAAATAAGATCAACAACAGGATCAAATTAACCGAATAATGTAAAATTAATATCTGCGCGCATTGGTTGGGATTGATTCAATCATCAGTTTATTCAAATTATTTAAATGCTTAAATATTGCACGGAAATGATGAAGCAAAAGTGTCAGCTAGTCCTTTAACACCTGTGCTGCTACATGATTGGACTGATATTTATGTCCCAAACACACATGAATGTGACTGGTTTGCTTGCTGGTTAGAGATGGATAGAAAGGAGCCTGCAGAGGCACGCACACACACACACACACACACACACACACACACACACACACACACACACACACACAGTCACAGTCGCTCACTCAGCCCATCAGTCAAGCTGACCTGCATCCTGCAGCACAGACTGCAGGAGAGCGAAGCATCTGCCCGTATGTTCACATGTAACGCTGGGCCTAAACCTCGGTAGTATGTATGAAAATTTCACACAAATCTATGTGTCATTTCTACTTTATTACCTGAACAACAACCACATCTACGAGTATGCTTTGCTTGCCTGCTCCCTTTTTCTCAGACGGCTGCTCGAGCAGATGGATCCGCATGTTTGATTTACAGCAGATGGCCTCCACGACTCAACCCTCGCCAAGGATTGCTCTCTCCTCCCAGTCTCGAACCTGGAGATTTGCATGTGTTCGCCACAATACTGCTGAGCTGCTCTACACTGTGGATCCTACTGTTCAGAATTATAATTAAAAGTAAATAGATAAAAAGATATTAAATTATATGTAAAACAAACAAAAGAAAAGTACTAACAGTTACATTTTGTTAGAAAATGAGACATATGTGCAGTGATTTATTGAAACATGTGCAAGCATATATAGAAATGCAGGATATGAGGCAGAAACAGTTTACAAGTGAATATTTGGTGTGAGCACCTTTATTCTACAACACAGACTCAGTGTTTCCTTATTTATTAATATAGAAGCAAGGTGTTTCATTTTTTTAATAGTACCAGCTGTCTGCTGCTGCTACACAGAGAATGACCTCCAACTCTGACCGAACTTCTTGAAATAGAAAAGGGTCAGATAAACAAACTGCTGTTTGCAGGGTCGTGCTTGTTATCAGGAGCACT